CTGGTTGGGCCTCGTGAAACCCTCCTGCTGCTGCCCCTCATTGTTGCCTTGGTACAGAAGACAGCTTTGGTTCCTGTTCCAAATTCAGGGTTTATGCACTCTCACTTTGAATGCACCACACAGCCCCAAACTAGCACTGGAATACATTACAGGGGGCAAAGCAACTCTGGAGCTGTTGGTGTGTGATGGGTTATTCAGCAGCATAAAGAGCCTCCAGGACCCAAAAAGCTTTTATTCCCAAACCAGCACCTATAGGTGATAGGGAACAGCATCACAGCACCTCAACGGCCTGGAAGGTCTCAGCAACCATCTTCAGTTCTTCAGTGCAGTTTTTCATCTCTCCTCAAAAACGATGATCAATGCCAGGACAGCACCGAGCGCTTTGACCTTGGAAGGAGCTGAATTTGGAAGGGAGGCTCAGAAATAATTCAAGCAACCTGCTTGTCCCAACATCCTTCCTTTCTGAACTGCTGCATATGGTAACACTGGGCTCGAAGTGGTGAATTTGAGCTCACCTCTGCCTCGCTGGGCTCTTTGCTGGGGGCACGTGGCCCTTGGCACACCAGCCAACAGCTCACAGCAGCTCACAGAGTGGTCTGTGGTGTCCAGGGCTGAATTTGTACAGCTGTAAATGGTGTAGATGGGTTATAAGTTATTTGTACAGGTGACAGAGGATTCATATCAGAAGGTGCAACTCTTTTAATGCCTATATAAATATATATAAATGTAAAGAGGGAAAAAAAAAAGCAGTAGAAATGGATCTTTTTATAAATTTACTTGCTTGTGGCTGGTGTGAGTGGGGTATGAATTGTGGGAACAGAAGGACATGCGGCCCCATAAGTGGAAAACAATTCATAAACTTGTGTTAATGACTAAGCTCTGCTTTGAAAAGTTTTCAGCTCTCATCAGAAGCTGCTGTCACTTGACCAGGTACATGGGAAGGCCTCATTCCTTTGCAGAAGAATTAACTTTAATAGTGTCTCCCTGAAGTTTTACAAGTCAGCTGCAAAACCCAGAGTACTGCTCTAAATGCATGTTTATTATGTAGCATATGAGTGCCATGGTGATCTCCTGCCCTGCTCCCTGCTGTGCTCATAGGAGAGACAAGGAAAAGTGATGCTATTGCAGATGATCTCTGTGTGTATTGATTACAGTTTATCTGCATGTCAGATGCTTTCAGCATAATTAGCTCCCCATTTTCTGGCACAAACCCACTATGCCATGCCACAGCCTGCTGCAAGGACTATAGATAGGCTTGTCCTCGAGCCAAGAATAACTGGAACTTTGTACTGAGAACTGCCTTCTCCCTGGAACTCAAACTCAAGTAGAGAGCAGTTTTAGTGTCAGGAATCTATTCCAGCCTTGTTACCATATCATACCTCAGGAAGTCTAACTGCTCATTAACGGGGTGCATGACAGCAGTCCTGTGCAAGCAGCACACCTGAATCATAGAATCATAGAATCATAGAATCACCAAGGTTGGAAAGACCTTCAAGATCACCCAGTCCAACCGTTCACCTATTCCCAACAGCTCCCACTAAACCATGTCCCTCAACACAACATCCAGCCTTTTCTTGAACACCCCCAGGCTCGGTGACTCCACCTCCCTGGGCATCCATTCCAATGCCTGACCACCCTTTCTGAAAAGTAATACTTCCTCATGTCCAGCCTGAATCTCCCCTGCCGTAGCTTGAAGCCATTCCCCCTGGTCCTATCACTAATGACACGAGAGAAGAGGCCGACCCCCAGCTCACTACAGCCTCCCTTCAGGAAGTTATAGAGAGCAATGAGGTCTCCCCTGAGCCTCCTCTTCTCCAGGCTGAACATTCCCAGCTCCTTCAGCCTCTCCTCATCAGCCCTGTGTTCCAGACCCCTCACCAGCTTTGTTGCCCTCCTTTGAACACGTTCCAGGGCCTCAATATCTTTCTTGCAGTGAGGGGCCCAAAACTGGACACAGCACTCGAGGTGCGGCCTCACCAGTGCTGAATACAGGGCAACAATCACCTCTCTGCTCCTGTTTGCAACACTGTTTCTGATGCAAGCCAGGATGCCATTGGCCTTCCTGGCCACCTGGGCACACTGTCAGCTCATGTTCAGCCGAGCATCAATCAATACCCCCAGGTCCATTTCCTCTACGCAGTCCTCCAGCCACACCACCCCAGGCCTGCAGCGTCGCCTGGGGTTGTTGTGGCCGAAGTGCAGGACCCGGCATTTGGCCTTGTTGAAACTCATCCCATGGGCTTCAGCCCAGCTCTCCAGCCTGTCCAGATCCCTCTGTAGGGCCTCGCTACCCCCAGGCAGATCCACACTTCCAGCCAATTTGGTGTCATCTGCGAATTTACTGAGGGTGCACTCGATGCCCTCATCGAGGTCATCAATAAAGATATTGAAGAGGACAGGCCCCAGCACCGACCCCTGGGGAACACCACTCACAACCGGTCGCCAGCTGGATTTGACTCCATTCACCACCACTCTCTGTGCCCGGCCCTCCAACCAGCTCCTTACCCAGCCAAGAGTGCATCCATCCAAGCCTCTGGCTGCCAGCTTCTGCAGGAGGATGCTGTGGGAGACAGTGTCAAAGGCTTTGCTGAAGTCTAGGTAGACCACATCAACAGCCTTTCCCTCATCCACCAGATGGGTCACTAGATCATAGAAGGAGATCAGGTTGGTCAAACAGGACCTGCCCTTCATGAACCCATGCTGGCTAGGCCTGATCTCCCGGTCACCCTGCACCCTGAGAGCCACGCGAATCCTTATTGGTTTAACTGGTGGTGCTGAGGATGTCCTCTGTGGCTGGTGCTGTTTGGATGTCACATGGATTGATGTACATGTGCTCTGTGACATGGTTCAGTGGTTCCCACTGAATCAGTTCCAGCAGATGAGGCAGCATTCACCAACAAATGCTGAATGTCTCTTTGCTTTTAGTGAAACAGTGCCCAGACCCTGCATGTAAGTCATTGTATGGCCAATGGAACTGGACTGGAATCCACACAGCTCATTGAACCCAATACTTTATCTCACCTTTTATTTTCACTCCTACATTGCAAGGAAACAGCTAAAACAGCTGGTCCCTTCCCTTCCCTTCCCTTCCCTTCCCTTCCCTTCCCTTCCCTTCCCTTCCCTTCCCTTCCCTTCCCTTCCCTTCCCTTCCCTTCCCTTCCCTTCCCTTCCCTTCCCTTCCCTTCCCTTCCCTTCCCTTCCCTTCCCTTCCCTTCCCTTCCCTTCCCTTCCCTTCCCTTCCCTTCCCTTCCCTTCCCTTCCCTTCCCTTCCCTTCCCTTCCCTTCCCTTCCCTTCCCTTCCCTTCCCTTTTTCCTCTTCTATCTGCTGACTTCAGTTGTACATTTCTCTGGGCACAGATACATTTCTTTGTGCATCACTTCTCCACTGCTTTTGCTGTGATAGGAATTACTTTTTTGGCCAGAGGCAATTTTTTTCCCTTGAAATCAGATGTGTTGACACCATAACACTGTGCACGCAGACACAGAGCTGAGTAGGAGCTAACTGTAAAATTAAGCTCTGTTTCACCTTTCGTATTAAGAAACCCCGCCTGGAGAAATTGTGCAACAGAAGAAGTGATCTCATGCCAACCTTATCGGAGCAGAGAAGGACGTTGTTGGCAGTAGGGCTGTGGTTTTGGACCTTTGAAAGCATTTCCAGCTGTAATCAGGTGTGGACTGCAGAGGGGATGATAGCAGTGAGAACAGCAGGCCTGTGCTGATGGGAAAAGGAATTCTGAGACAGGAAACACAATCACACGCTGGAGTCGTGTTAATCGTGGATTGAGAGATGTGAGCTTGAATTTTTGACAAATCCCAAGGAAAAGAAGCTCATGGAATTATTTAATAACTTCCATCTTGTTATTCTGGCCAGACATACATGCCCTTCTGCAGGAATAGACAGTTCAGTGCTCTTTGTGCTTCTCAGTACCTTTCCAGTGTCTGAGTGGATCCATTAAAACTTCTTTACAGTGGATTCGAGGATGTAGAGCATCTTCTGCAAGAGAGGTTTGTACATAACGATAGCATTGGGCAGAGCAGAGCAAGCAGTGTGTGCAATGGGTGTGCAAACAGTTCTGAGTGCGACTCTGCACTGCTAAAGGTGATCCTGTGTGTTTGGGGAGAGCAAAGCAAACGTCTGGAGTGCTTTAAATGCAGAGCACAGCTGATCCAAGCACTCATTCCTTGTGGCCACAGTGAACGAGCATTGGGGTGGTGGAATCATCCCTGGAGGTTTTCAGGGAAAAGGCAGATGTGGCACGTAGGGATATGGCTTAGTGAGCATGGTGGTTGTGTCTTGGTGGGTGGAATAGATGATCTTAGTGGTCTTTTTCAATCTTAATGATTCACAGAATCACAGAATGGCCAGGGTTGGAAGGGACCTCAAGGATCATGAATCTCCAACCCCTGCCACATGCAGGGCCACCAACCTCCACATTTGACACCAGATCAGGCTGCCCAGGGCCCCATCCAGCGTGGCCTTGGACACCTCCAGGGCTGCCCTGGGCTACAGCAGAGTCCCCATCCCTGGAGGTGTTCCAGAGGTGGCACTGATGGATGTGGCCTTGGGTGGGACGTGGCAGGTCAGGCTGATGGTTGGACTCGATTTTTTCCAGCTGAGGTGATGCTGTGATTCTATGATCACTAAGATCCCTGCAAGGTTTTAGACCCATACCCAGCCCCTGCGCTCCCAAAGTGCTGCCAACCATCTTTTCTTTGTCCCGCTTTTGTCGCACGGTTTATTTGTCTGCAGCAAGCCGTGCCCCGCTGAGAGACACAAAGGATGCATTGGGCTGAACGGGACCGTGTTCGTGCTGAAGCTGCTCAAGTCTGTGGCACGGAACTGGAGAGGCAGGGGCTGTGGCTGGGCTGGGGGTGCGCGGCGGCAGAGGACACCCAGCCGAGCTCCGAACCGCCCCGAGAGAGAAAGAGAGAAAGCGGCCGCGGTGCGGGCGAAGGGCGGGGAGCGGAGCGGGGCGGCGGAGAACGGCAGAGGGCGCGGCGGGAGCGGAGCGGGGGGAGCCGGGCTGAGGGGCGGGGAGCCTCGGGAGCCCCGAGCCGCTCCGCTCCGAGCGGTGCGGACGGGGGAGAAGCGAGGCGGCCGCAGCGCTCTGCAGGATGGAGGGGAAGCGGACCCCCCCCCGGTACGGCTCGCTGGAATCCACCCGGTGGCCGCCCGCCAGCACGGCGCCAGGTGAGATCCAAACTTTCCCCCGGTGGCTCCGCTGTTGCCCCCTTCCCAAGCCCCCCAACCTACGTCGGGTCGCGGAGCCTCGCGGTGCGTCTTGGAAGCGAGGGGAGAGAGGATGTGGGAGCCGCTGAGCCCCCCGCTGGGTGGGAGGGCTGCATGGGGGGAGAGAAAAGACGGAAAGAAGCGGATGGAGGGATGGCTGGGGGAAATGAAGTGGTGGAGGGGGGATGGAGCCCTCCGCACGGCTGGTCCAGCCCTGAGAGATGTGGAGGCACCGTGCTGTGGGCATGGCTGTGATGGGCAGCCTGGGGTGCCCGCACGGCCCTTTGCTGCCTTTCCCCACTCTGAGCAGTTCCTCCTGTAGGAAATGTGGTCTGAGCCGGGTGTCATCCGCAGTCGAGCCCCAGGGCTGGGAGGCAGCATCGCAGCCTGGGGGGACCTCCTGCCAGGACATCACTCCGACATCTCCCCGTCCCCTTCTGCTCCCATCTCATTCTGCTCCCCACCAGACCTCTGCGTGCAGCAGGACAGCGGCGAGCAGCCAGAAAGGCAAAAAGGGGAGGCACAGAGCAAACTTCAGCATCCAGCTGGATGCGAGTGTGCGGGTGCTGCTCGGCTCCATGGGGAGCATCCTGAAGTTTTTATCTTCCTCTGTATCTGCCAGCACAGCAGCACTTATCCCTCCATCCTGCCCCTGCATGGCAGGTATCTGGGTGGGGGGCCTGCAGGGATCTGACCTTGTCCTCCAGGTCTGGAGTGCCTGGCTGTGTGCTGAAGATGCTGCAGGAACCAGGGATGTGAGCACCATATCACCTCTGCAAACACTGCCCAGAGCTGGGCAGTGAGCTGCGATTGCTCTCATTATCAAATATGCACCAGTCAACAAGGGTTGGTTTTGATGAGCTGGATGCCCCCTGCTCACACTGCTTTTCCTGGCAGAGAAAACCCGCAGCTGAATTAAAAGCCTCTTGGGACGGAGCCCAGGTGAAGACCTCTGCCCTCCCTCCCCAGAGCACTGCCAATCTATTGCCCATCTTTAATCATGAAAGAAATCACTTGCAACTCAACCCTGCACTGGCTGCTGCTGTGACTCATCCTGGGCTTGTTGCTGGCTGTCTAAATGTTTGCATCAAAGCCATATGGAGTGAGAGTCTCCAGCTATTATACTCCTCATTAACGATACTCTCTTCTCCTGGGCTGTGTGTGACGATCAGAACAGTCCCAAGTTGAAATCAAAGCCTTCTCCTGTTCTTCAGTTTGCCAGGTTGAAGCAGTGGCTGTTGGAGAGCTCTGTGGGCAGTATGGGGCTGATGCCTGTGCCTGGTACCATTGGCGTGTGCATCTGTGGGAGCTGCACACACGTGGGTCATCCTGCATCCCTGAACGGATGCTCAGCACCACAAGGATGGGCCCAGATGTAAGGAGGCACTGAGAGTTGGGTGTTACAGACCTGTTCAGTAAAACCACCTCCAGGAAAGTCTTTGCCCAGCTGTACCATGTGCCCAGGTTTAGTCCCTCCTGAGCTCTGAGTGTTCCCACTTCCCATACCTGCAGTGGATACACAGAGCCCTGGGGACCCCAGGCTGCAAAGGGAAGCTGTGCTTTAGCCCGTGTCTGTAGCTGGGGCTTCAGGAACTTGATATCACCCCACATCTGTCTGGAGGAGGCATCTCCTGGTCTAGTAGGGAAGAGCCATGCAAAACTCAGTTGGTCTTTGCAGAGTAACTTGGATCAGGAGGGAGCTCTGCAGATTTTGAGTCCAACTCCCTGCTGAAAGCAGGCTTAGCAGGTAGATGGAGTTGCTCACAGCCTTGTCCAGAAGGTGTCTTGGACCAACGATGCAGATCCCTGGACTTCTCTGGTAGCCATTCTAGTTTCCTGAAGGGTTCCTGCCTTTTGGTCTCTTGCACAGATTCACTGGTTTCTCATGAGGTTTGGTGGATCGGTTTCATGCAGAAGTGTAGCAGTTTGTCCCTTTCCCTGGGTGTTCACACAGCCTCTGGTGTCTCTGGCCCCGCTTCCAGAGCCCTTGGGCAATCTTGGTGTCAAATACAGCATGAAGGATTGGCTGATGCTGGCCTCACCCTTACCCAAAAGCACAGCAGCAGCTTGGCATTTATGATCCCGAGGATTTTTCCCATTCCTCATTGAATTTAGAAGGTGAGAAGGTGCTTGGGGCAGATTTTAAGGAATCAGTGGGGAGAGTGCACTCCCCCAGAGGTCCACAGGCTTCCTTTTGCAGGAGCTCTCACTTGGAGCTGCCCCTTCTCCTGTTTTAAGCAGCTCTTTGATTAGAGCTCTGTTGACACCTTCCCTCGTGTGTCTGAGGATAAGTCTCACCTTTGGGACACAGAGTGCCACCCCATCACCAATGGGAACCTCCAGCTCGGCTCCTGCAGCCATGGCTGTGCTGTGTGATGCCCACCTGCCCTTGGTTCACAGTACACTCCTAACCTGCAGCCTCTGCTGCTGGAAGTGACCGTGGGCAGAAATCATCCAGCCTCCTCCTCCCTTTGGTACACAGGTGAGGATTTGCCTCTTCCAGATGGGCTGGCTGCTGCTAATGAGGTTCTGGGATGAAAAGGGAGAAGGAGTGATGCTGACACCTGTTCCAAGCCATTGTGCTCACCCACTGGGAAGCAACTGGCTGACGACCTGAGCCAAGTACTTCTGCCACCGACGATCAAAGATGTTCTGGGCTATTCCCTCACCCACCCAGACCAGCAGTGACAGCCTTCCTCCCCCAGACCCACCCCTGTGCTCCAAGATTTGTTCCTGGCTAATGAGAGCTGCAGTGAGCTCGTTTCTTTGTTTACTGGAGAATGTATAAAATAATCAGCCTTGTCATTTCAGCCTGGTTGCAGAAGTGACGCTGAGCAATGCAGCTTTTTCTGACAGATCTACAGCCACACTGAACTACAGCCGAGCCCCAGGGAGCCTACAGGCACACGGCGGCTGTTCCATCTGCAACCTCGCGTGCGTTCTTACCTGCTTGTCCCCGTCAGCTGCAGGGAGATGTGACCAGGACCACCTGCCTGTCTTCAGGTGCATGAAATCCCCTGGGCCACGGGCATCCTGGGGTGGCTGAGCAGGTGGATGCTTGGGACAAGGGAGCTCAGCATCCCTCTCCCCTAGCAACCATTGTCCGGTCCCTTAGCAACAGCAGTCCGGTCCTGCAGAAACTGCATCCTTGGTCCCATAGCAACCACAGTCCAGTCCCCTAGCAACCCCATTCAGGCCAGTAGAAAGCAGGCTAAGGGCAGGGTTTCCAGCACCCGTTTGCAGCAGGGACAAGAGCTGCCAGAAGGCAGCCCATCCCACCCCACTCTGTGCTCAGCTCACATATCCAGTGGTCCATCAGGGTGGGGCTCCTGAGAGCATCCCAACAGCTTAGGGTGGGGAATGTTTAAGGATTCCATGTAAAGGTGTTGGTAGAAAATACCTGCATGGCTGGAAGAGAGGGAGATGTGCTACAATTAATCCTCATGAGTTTCTAAGCCAGAAAGAGTGGAAAGCTATTCCCCAAACCAGTCACACCAACCTAAACTACATATATTTCTGCTATTCAACTTTCTCCACCAGCAGCTTCAGAAACATGCCTCGCTGGGGACAATTTCTCCAGCAGTTCTATGCGATGGGTAGAGAACCACTGTGTGGGGTGTTCTGCCTTGTGCCTTCACAGCAACATCTCCCTGCTCTACAGGGCTGCAGAAACTCTCTGAGCAGAGATGTGCCTTGCGGGGATCCAAAGGAAGCTCAGTTTTCCCCTGATATATGTGATTGTTAGTGTTTCTCATAGCCTGGCTTTGCTGTAGCTGCTGAGCCCCCCACCCCCCACCCTGTGCTGCCTGTACATCACAGGAGAGCTGGATTAGCCACTGTGTGATGAATGCACTGCTGCACATCAGTGATAACAAGCTGGGTGATGTGATGCTGGGAGCTGGGCTGGCAGGAAGGTGGCAGCTGGCCTGGGAGCAGAACCTCAGCTGTCATCCCATAGAGCAGGCTGGGAGCTGTGGGACATCAGACTTTGGCAGAGACAAAGCTGGTGGTGAGAGCAGAGCTCTGCTTCTGGGCTCTCATCCCGCCTATCCCTGAACTTGCCACTAAAAAACAACAGCCTCTTTTTCCTGTGGTTTGCTGGGATGGTTTTGCCTCTGGTCTGGAGAAAATGGCATCCCTTTTTCCTGACTCAGTTTCCCCAGGGGGGTTGCAGAGATGATGCTCAGCACTTCAGGAGATAAGGAAGCTGAACTGCCCTGCCAGGTACCTTGGAGGGGTTCACCCATCCTGCAATGGAACAGGAGCTGCAGTGGGACCTTCACCTCCATGACTCCTTGTTGGTTTTGTGTTATATGGGCCCTGGCATGTCCTGGAGGAGGAGGCAGACACAGGCTTGTGTCTCTGAGGTTGCTCAGCCAAGGGGTCTGATGCAGCAGCAGCACTGAGCAGAGCTGCTCTGGTGCTCAGCTTTGTGTGGAGCACAAATAAAGGCAAAACACATCTGCCAGTAGCTCAGTGCCCCTGTATCTGGTGGTGACTTTCCATGTCAGGCTGTCTCCTCTTGCAGCGGCTGGTGGGTAGCCTGGAAAAGAAGTTGAAGCTGCATGTGTAGCCTGGTGATGCTGTGTGGTGTCTGCTGTACAGCCCTGTTGTCCTCAGCACCTGGTTAACATCTGCTGCTGGCTGACGGGGCTCCTCCTTCCTTTGCAGAGGATGAGATCATTTCCATGGCTGACTCCTCCACCACTATTGATGACATCGAAGGGGAGCTCTTCAAAATCGAGAGGATCAGGGAGATCCTGGTGAGGAGGGAGTCGGAGCTGCGATACATGTGAGTGCTGGGAGCCAACCTGTGCGGATTGGGGGCATGTGTTTGACTGAGCTAAAACGTGCCCATGGTCCTCTCTGAGCACTATGTCTTCTCTGCAGGTTGATGCTCTTGGGCTGGGCATGGGAAGGTACTCGAGGTTTGGGAGCTCACTGCTGCTCCCTGACATGGGCAGCCACAGAACCTGAGTTTATCGTCGAATCATATCACATCATGGGTGGGTTGGAGGAGACCTTATGGCCTCCCAGCCCTTCCTCCCCTTTTGGAGCATCAGTATGGAGGATTTCTGTCCACAGAGTGCCAGAATCAATGTGGCCCTGCCAAAGAGGCAGAAATAAAGCCACTGTAACACAGAGGGATGGTGACAAGAGAAAAGCCAATGTGACGGAGCTGCACAGCTCCTTTGGAGCCAATTGGTGCACACAGTCCTAACACTGGCTTAGCAGACAGGGAGGGAGCTGAGAAAAAGCAAAGGAAAAAGCAAGGCTCATTTGCAGCATGGGATAAACAACACTCTCAGCACTGGGTTCTGAGCCAGAGCCATGGAGACAGGGCTGCCAGCACTGCCCTGGGCTGACCCCAGAAGTGCTGGGCTGGCACAGGGAGCGCACACCACACACCTGGAGCTGAGGCGTTGTTGGGATTGCAGAGGATTTCTGGGAGTCACAAAAGCTGAATTGCTTGAATGTTTTCCATGGCAACTGGCACCTAAATCTCACAGGTGCTGTCAAAACTCACAGCTCGTGGTTCTTCTTACCTCATTGTTTGTTTTCTTCCTTGGCTTGCACTTGGGAATCACCTACAGAAAACACATCCTGGGGTGGGTACAGCTGCAGCATTCATTGCTTGGGTGGGGAACAGCAGGGCTGCACATCAGAGCTTGAGCATCAGACCTGTGGTGTGAAACTATGGGAGTATCAGCTTTGCTGGGCAGGAGGAGCTGGGGCTGCCCTGCTGGGGGCACAGGAACCTTCCGCACACCAGGGCTACAACGGATAGGGCTTGGGGGTTGGAGTGGGGCTTTTGACACAGTGGGGGAAATAAAAGTCATATTTAAGGTCAGGTGGACTGTAGGACTCAGGGAGACGTACACCTCCGTCGTGTGCCACCATACAGGGATGTGAGTCGCCTTGTCAGTCGATAGCAATCAGTGTTTTCTTGTTGAAAATGTCAAACCAACACATTCCAACGTTGCTGAGATGTCCGTGCTTGGAAGATAATGAAACCTGCTGCAACAAGATGTCTCAGGTGGCAGAGACAACCCCAGCTCCAGCAGCAATGACCCGGCTGCTTGCCTTTGCTATCTCCCTGATTGTACTGAAATGACAACTTTCATTATTGCCAATTCATTACTTCTGCCAAGAGGAAAGGCTTCCTCTACTTGGGATGTTCTCCTCCTACAGCAGTATCACACAGGGTTCCTCTTTGTCGCTCTGTTGGTTTCCCTCTCTCTAATTAATATTTCTGGTGCCCCCAGCTCCAGTGTGACTCATCCTGACGGGGTGACTCAGCGAAGGGCTGCGGGATTACTGGAGAAGCAGACAGGGCTCTTAGCAATGCACACCGCACAGGGAGCCAGGGGCACATCTGTGGCAGCAGCTCGTGGATCCAATCGTGTGTTATCTGCAGACACGGAGCGTGAATTAGGGCTTCTGCACTGCTCACAGACGTGGAGCTTGTGAGAAATCTCAGCTGTGTGGTGCCAGGTTGGCTGCTCTGCCATGTGCCTGCAGTGTCGGTGCATTGCTGCACTGGAGGCTTGGATGGCCTTGGGAAGGTCATGCTTCATGTTGGCTTCTTAGTAGAGCTTGGGAGGACCAGTGAAGTCTGTCGGGATGAAGAACAGATCACAGTTCCTTGATTTCAATGATCCAGCAGCCCACACCCCATTTCCATGCTATCCATGCTATCGCCTGGCGCACGTGCCAGGTTTTACTGAGGTGTTGTTGTCATTGATGAGATTTCTGCTTCGCTAACCGCCCTGATTCCATTTGTGTCTCTGCAGGATGGATGACATTCAGCTCTGCAAAGAAATCAGCCGGCTGAAAAAGGAGCTTCAAAAGCTCCTTGCCCTTCCTGGTAAGGCTCTGTAGAGCTGCACCCTGCCATGCGCTCAGCAGAAAGATCTCCATGAAGCCCAGGAAGCTCTTGGCCAGCTCCCACACTGGGGTGCTCCCGGAGATGCTGCTGCTGAAGGCAGCAATGAGAAGCTTGAGCCTAAAGTGCCCTTAGTAGTTCAAAGGGGTGGTCCTGATGGACTGTGACATCAGCAATTTGGAAAAAAGCAGTGTTTGTATGGAGGGTATGTTAACTCTGATGTGCTCTAACCCAGGAGTGCAGACCATTAACTATCCCCATGTAGCTGGTATGTTTGTGCCCAACCTGATGTTTCTGGTGGCATCAGAGTGAAGTGCCTTATTTGCACCAAAATATCACAGCAAATTATTTTCTGGGGATCTTTCCGACAACACAAAGGTTATGAGAAGTTCCTTCTACCCAGACCCCTGCAGCAGCACCTCCCATCAATACAAAGCAGACTTGAAGCTGCAGATCAATGCACAGCTTAGGGAGCTGCTGAGACCCTGCCTGCAGGCTGGCTCCATGCTGTGAATTCTGCTGCATTTTTATTTAGCTGAAGGAAGACAGGAGATTGATCCATCCTGAGCTGGATTGATTTTGGAGCTGGCTGCTGAATTCAGAAATTGTTATTAAATAGTGCTACACAGGCATTTACCATTTCCACCCAAGCTAGCTGTCCATATTTAACACTCCCCAGCGCTAGCTCTGTCATCTTATAGAATCACAGAGTGCTTTGAGCAAGAGAGAACCTGTGAAGATCCTCTAGTCCAATCCCCAAGGATTTTTATGCATTCTGCTTGCTGCTATATACCAGTTTGTATAGAACATGAGTTTGCATGATGTGAGAGTTTCCCAGGGCTTCACTAACTCTCTGCACAAGGAGGTGGTGGTGCCCCATCCCTGCAGACACCCAGGGTCAGGGGATGGGGCTCTGAGCACTGATGGAGCTGTGGGTGTCCCTGTTCAGTGCAGGGGAGTAGGACCAGATGGGCTTTGAAGGTTCCTATATGTGTGACACAAATGGGTCATGGTGCTCAGAGGCAGCCAGGTGGGGTTTCTGGGGCTCTCCATGGGTCAGCACCATGCTGGCACTGCGGCTGGGTGTGCTGGTGTGGGAAACGTGGGTTCAGCACATCTTGGCAAGAAGATGACACCTGAATCTGACTTTTCTGAGCACCTGGGGGTCAGGTGCCCAGTGCAGGGTGGAGACCCATAGGGAAGCAGAGGAGGGATCTCTAAGCAAGGTAGCCTCACTGGTGGGATCTCACCTTGCTTAGGGACCCCTCTGCCTTGTGAAGCTCACAGTTACATCTCACAGTGCTCATCCCCATGGAAATTTCAGGGGCAAAACTCAAAAATCTGAGTTTGATGACACCAGACCTGGGTGGGTTGAGGTGAGATTTTTGCTTATTTAGCAGCCTGTATCTGGATCCTGGAGCCTACTTTGGGTTGGCTTTTACCCCCACTCTCATAGCCACTCCCAGGTGGAGCAGAGCACAGCAAGCTTGGCTTGGCTCAACTTTGCATGGGAGGGATACAGAGGAGCTAAATACACTTCTTGTGCTGCAGAGACTGAGAAGTCCAATGAGGAGAAGCAGAAGGAGGAGGAACTGGTGCAGCAGATCCACAAGCTGGTGGAAACACGGGATTTCCTGGTGGACGATGTGGAGTTTGAGAGGCTCAGGTAGCTGGGAACAAGTTATTCCTTGCAGTGAGGACAGCGCAAGCTTTCCTCAGATCTGTATTACGCTTTGACAGATGTTTCTGGATGCCTCGTTGCTCCTTTTCCATGTGCTAAACAATCTCTTTGTTGCAGGGAGAGAGAAGAAGACAAAGAAATGGCAGAATTCCTGCAAAGTAAGCTCTCCAAAAGCTACCTCCAGAAAGCAAGTAGGTGGTCAATGAGTTATATTCCTTGCACTGAACCTCCCTGGCAGTTTCTTCCCTTCCCTAAGCAGTCTGGTGCCAAGATTTCATCCCTCTGTGTAGAACTAGCTCAGTGTGGGGAGGTGCTGGTGCTGGAAACATCACCAGTCAGTAGAGATGCAATGCTTCCATACATTTCTCAGCCAGCATGTCCTAGGAGATCTGGGATGAGCAGGTGTCACTTTGTGGTTCGTGTACTTCATCAGGCCCTTTCTAATCAGCTCCGTCCATTTCGTCATGCACTGACTGAAGCGACAAGTCGTGCCATCCACTCAGCCTTCCTCTGGGGCAGCAGTGCTGTGCTGAGAGGACCTTTCAGAAGAAGCAGCGGGCTTATGTCCTTGTCTCCAAGAACACACCTGAAGCTTACAGTGCCTCTTTCTGTAGCTCCTATCAGAGAGAAGAAAATGACTTCCAGGGGGCAGCAAACCTCCGCACCGTACATGACCAAAACGGGCCTCACCCTGCTCAAGGAGTGCTGTGGCTTCACCTGCTCCATCATGTAGCTCCTCTGCACGGGACGTGACCATGGTAGTGTGCTGGGCTTTGTGACAAGGACTTCTGGGGGTGCTGAAGCTGCCAAGTGCGGGGAGGGTTGGTTGGCACTGGTATGTGGGACACACAAAAGAAGCAGGGTGTGAGGGACCACCAGGCTGCAGCCCTGCTCTGTGGGTTGGTCACTGCAGAAAAGTGTCAGAGCCCCACTGAGTCCTGAGAGAGGGTTTGGAAGGGGAGCAGTGGTCATTGCTGGGAGGATGCTGAGGACATGCAAGGAAGCACCAAGGGGATCACACACTTGCGACCCATGGTCTCCTGTTTCTTTCCTTTCCTGCCCAGGTCTCCAGCCAGAGTCCACAACCTGCTCTCCTCTGAGAGTTCCAACCTCCCATCAATATTCACGCTTCCCACTGCAGCACTGCTACCGACGAGACTTTCCATGCAGGCTGGTGCAAGCTTGAATGATGGCATGTTTCCTTGGTGCCACATCAATGGCCAAACCTCCATGACATCAACAAACACTGAATTCCACCTTAGCTCAGCTTGGAAGAGATGTGTGCAGCAAACAAGAATATCCAGAGATATTCTTCACCTGGACAGGGCAACTAAACAAGCGTTGGAGCTGATATTTGGGGAGCATCCACCATCCCTGGACATGTAGTCATTGCAGATCTCATCCTTGGCCTTGTACCACCTTGTGAGTCTCTGTGGGCTGATTCCAAAGGATTCTTGGTGGGGAATTGTCTCTGGTCAGGGCTTTGTTGTGCTTGCATTGGTTTTATGGCTCTGGGTAGGGCTGTGGGAGGGAAGGGCCATCCCTAAAGGCAACTGAACGAAGGGCTGATTTCTGTGAAGTTGTCACCTGAGCACAGACGTAGTGTGTTGAATTACAGGCAGATGAGCTGCCTTCCCCAGCTCACTGTTACTGGGTTCAGTTTCAGCTCCAAAGGAAAAGGAAACCAGAGCAAAACAGGAAAGGAGAAAAAAATTAGAAGATCGGGGAAAACGCAATGGGAAATGGAAACCAAACAGGAGATGAGAAACATGGCAGGGATGGTTGGAAAGAGGAGGTGAGGGACACCTGCACTGCCAGGAGGGCATTCAGCCCTGACCACCCGTGCCCACCAGTGCCTCCAGGCTTGGCACCATGACCAGCACGTAATCCCTGTGTGAAAGATCACAGCACCACGAGGTCTCCCAGTGCCTCAGATGCTGGTGTCCCCTCTGAGCATGTCAACATTTTGATCCATGTTTAGATGGCACAACTGGAGCTGCTAACGGCTGTCATGACAGCACAAGGGTTCTTTATAGGATGTGAAGAGCTCTCACATCTCCAAAACCTGCCTGCCCTGTAGGATGGGTGGCTCCACTAGGTGGTATGTGGGGGCCATTTGGTGGCTGCCCAAGAGCTCTGGTTGCCCCATAGCCAAGCTGCTGAGGCCTTCAGATCAGTGCTGCTGCTGTTTGCTGCAGTCCTGAGATGGTGTTCCTGCCTGGGTCACTGTCCTGCATGCCCAGGTCAGTGAGATCACAACCATCAGTCTCTTTTCCTTGCACCTAATGGTACATTCATCCCGATAATACTCAATGCAGATGGGACCCTGCTTTTGGTATCTTCTGAGGTCTCAGTGTGAAGCCTCCTTACGTGTTGTTCTGTTGTTGGTGACCTCCTGCATCCCACAGTACCTGCCTGCTGTTCCCTGTACCCTTTGCTTTGGGGATGTGGAACCCTGGAGGAAGCACTGCAGGTCAGAGTGCTTCCCTCTGCTCTGCCAGCCCTGTGGAGCAGCACGAGGTGCCTCCACACTGCAATAAGGTGCTGTGCCTGTTGCTCCAGAAGACGGACCATCTTCAATAGCATCCAGCCTGGAGCTGGTGGGGCAGATGAGGCTTCTCCTACTCCTTGCTCTTTCATTCCCCGCCCTGTGGTTGGTTGGCTTCATCACTCTGCAGCCACACACATGGTGCAATGTGGGCATTGACTGTGGACAACAGACCTGAAGAACTAGAAAGGCCCTCCCTGTGCTGGCCTTCCCCAGGCCTTCTTTGGAAGGGGGAATAGCAGAGCCACATTGCTGGCTTGGGCTGACAGGGAGCCAAAGGCAAGGAAGAGCTCTTGATTCAGTTTGACCCCCAAATTAATCCCTGCTTCCACCCTATGAGGCCCCAGGACCCAGTGCTGGTAGGGCAGGGAGGATGGCCAGGAAGGAGGTGGGAAGGATCCTGACTCACTTTGCTCTGTTGATGGCTGTGTTTGTAAGGCTGGTCATGGAGAAAGGCTGCAGTCCTGGCCGTATGATCCCAGTTGGCCTGTACTGAACTGACGGCAGAGGTGTGCAGCACACGGGAGCGACACTCCTTCACGTGCATTGATTTCAACCCAAACTAATAAATGTCTGTTGGAAGCTTCATTTGTAAATGTCTTTTCCTGCTTGGAACCTTTGCAGAGGTGTATCAGGTGGTGTCACAGCAGGGTGGTTGGAGCAGAACGTGAACCAAGTCCCCTAAAGCCAGGCTGCATTTGGGATCCCCCAGTGTTGCAGGAGTAGAAACAAAAGGGTGGAGAAGCCTGACCCTTCTCTTTCTGGCTGGTGACCTAACATTTCATTTCTGAATCAGGCTGAAAAATCTTTGGGAAGGCAGGAGACTCCCTTTCTGGTTCATAAACACCTCATGGTGGCCATAACGAGGAGGGGAGAGAGGCAGTTTGGGGGCAGAGAAGCAGGACAGGCTTTGTGCAGATGTGTAGGACCAAGGAGCTCACAGTCACTCACAGACACGATGTGTTTTTACTCCAGTGACTGCTGAGGGGGGACCAGGCAGCTCTGGCAACCACATTCTCTCTTGAATAGAAACTACATATGCAGAAACAATGCTCTAATTTGGGTCTAATGACTCTCATGTCCGCCATCTGGCATCTGGTGATGCTTGGCATGCCAAGTCCTGGGTAAGTGCTAATTATGGGGTTAACAAGCCAGCAATGTTTTCTGAAGTCACTATGGAGGACAGCAGTTGGTGCTAGCATGGGTTGTCCTAGGTCCTCACAGACCACCTAAGATGGGAGAAGCATGTCTCCAGGTGACAGCATCATGGGGTGACCCTCTGTGTCACAGCCTGTCCCATCACTTGAGTGTGCAATGGCACCAGGCACACCTGGCTTCTCTGGACAGTGGAAATGCCACTGTCCCTGGTGGGGTCAGAGCAGGAGGACCTGCATTTCCAGCTCCTCCCACACTGATGGAACAGAGGAAATGTTAACAGAGTTCAGATTAAACCAGTGACAACATTTCAGTGTGACGGGGATTTTCTGTCAACAGCCTGTGGATTTAGTCAATGCTTAAGTCATTTCTGTGCCAAGAGAAAGAAATCTTACAAAAAGAAAACAAAAAAAAAACCAACACAAGACAAAACAAAAAAACAAACACCCTGACACTCAAAATCAAGCAACACAATGCAAACAAACCAGAACCCTGCAATTCTGCAAGCAAAAGACAGGCTATTAAGAGACACACAAACAAACAGTTGGCTGTATGCAGCATCACTGAGCTTAAACCCTGACATCTGATCAGGTAATTTTAGTTTTTGCTTCCATTTCCCGCAGCAGTGTGAGTCACATTGCTTTTGCTTCACCCACCACCACAAGGCAGACGGGGTCGGTAGGCAGCACTGCAGTCATTGTGATGCTCAGGGAAACACCTTGCTCTCACACTTTCCCACCTGGACGCCTCCTGCGTCACCCCCCTGTCCTTACAGTTTGGTTGGCATTAGGCTCAGCTCTGTCCCCCCACCCTGCTCATGCCAAAGCCATCCGGCAGGGCTCTGGGAATAACTCTTTTCCCTTCTGGAGATGCACAGCTGCTGGTTTCTCCTTCCAGTAGCCTGTTTGCAGTGGACAGCCTGACCCTGAGACTCTCCAAGGTCTTTCCATAATTACCTCATGCAGGCTCAGGGCTGCAGCCCCCATTTCCCTGGGCACAACCACCCCGTTCCCATCAGCCCCCAGCAGCTGCCACTGATGTTGAAGATGGTGAGGGGGTGGCCATGGGTGGAAGAAGAGAGGACAGCTGAGTCACCTCTCAGGGTGGGTATAAATGCTCCTGGTCCTTTTGGATGCATCTCTGCAGAGAGGAGATGCAAGGACACAAACACACAACCTCATCTCTGCTGGGATGAGTCATGAGATGACTTTTTCAGCAGCTTTTTCTATCGTCACCAGTGCCTCTACAAGACATTTACCAACCTCTGGTACCCCTGAGGACCTCACCAAGATGTGCTCTCTCCTGCAATTCTCTCTCCCTTCTGCTGCTGCTGTTTGGTCTCACTGGAAAGCAGAGCCCAGGATGCAAGGCAGTGCAAGATAGGAAGATGCGATGGGGGAAGGGCTCTCAGATCCTGGCATGGAGAGCTGCTGCCCAAGGAGTTTCCAGCAAAGACGCATGAGACTCAGCGTGGGAGTTTTGGTCTTTGCCTTGCAGGAAAGCCAGTGCATGGCCTTATAACTGATTCTCATCTTGACCTGCCAGCTGGACTTTCTACCTTGATCTTGGAGTTGCACATAGCCTGGCCATCACTCATGAACCTCAGCCATGAACCTCTCCTTGGTGGCATACCATGGGGCAGCCGCCTCAAGGAGCAGCCCACCCCTGCTCCTCCTTGACAGTCACAATCCCCATTCTACAGAAGGAACATAATGAAATCATTAAAGTGTGGGCACATGGTGGCTGCATAAAGTTGCAACATCTTTTACTTTTCCTTGCCAGCTGGAATGCGGAATGCCACTCACCTCCCACTGCTCTGGTGATCTATTCAGAAGAACACAGGGCCTGTCTTGGCCCACACAGCATTAACACGTCAAGGTTTCAGAAAGAAATGAGCTCTCTTTTCACACACAGTAGCTGAGGAGCAATTACTGCCCTTGCCTCTGCAATTGAGTTTTTCACTGTTGTGTTTCCTTCTGCGCTTGCATCGCACCGAGATGCTGCATAGGGTGATGTTCTGCTGCTGAGACCTGAAATCCAGTGTGAAAGTAGTCCTCTGTTTCTGTATTCATCATGTTAGGACTCACAGTGAACAAGCAAATGCTTGCTGCGATTCATTCAGCTGGTTCATCCTTTACCTGTCAACACTTCTCCTAACAGCAGCAGAGGGATGGGTTTGGGTACGCAGTGAGTGGCTGCGTAGGGAAATCCACATTCCCATAGGCACTGGGTGTGGTGATGCAGGAAAATCTCTGAAGCTCTCTGGAAGGACAGTCCTCCCTCCTTTGTGATGTTCCTGTTGAATACCTCAGCTTAAACTGAGTGGTACGTCCAGGTGTGGACGTGAACCCCTATCTGAGCCTATATCCTGGGATGCTGTACTCTGCAACCAGCATCCCATCTGCCAGAGAAGGCACTGCTTGGATGAAGCTGTGGGATGGTGCTGTTCCAATGGTTCCAACCACCCCAAGAAACAGATCCATCTTAAAACATATTGTTTTTAATAGTGTGAGAAGGTGCGAGTGACAGTGCAGGAGAGAAGGGCAAGAAAGGTATGAAACTTCACTGACATAACCTATAGTAAAGTCTACAGCATCTGTGGGGCTCTCTGTCCTTTTCTCACCCTTCCCACACTGCTGGGCTTTTGCTGGCAGACCAGGTCAAGTTTGGCATCTTCCTCGCAGCCCCATAGGCATAACTGCATGCTAACGGCTCTGTATGCTCTTTCTTTTCACTTCCATTAAGATGTCCATGAGGTCTTGGATAAACTGTTGAATCTAGGGTAGGGAAGAGAGATGGTAGAGCTCAGAGTGCTGGGGAATGTGCCTCACGGTAGGGATGGGAGCAAGAGGCAGGGGGGAACTTATTGGCCCTTTAGGAAGACAAGGGGTCAATGAATCCAGACCTTGGCCATGGGCTGACCCGCACATCCTGTCCTAACCTGCCAGCCTCCCACCCCTTGTCACCCTGCAGCAGGGACCCACACCCAGGTTTTCCTGATGTCTTCTGTCCAAGAGAGGACTCAGGTGAAAACGTTGGTATCTGCTGGGCATCTTGGTTTCCCTGGGCTCTCCCCTCCCTTTGGGCAGCTGAGGGTCATTACTGCTCCTCTTTCTGGGCAGGGAGAAGTGGTCTGGCTTGGCCCTACCACGCTCAGCTGTGTGTAGCTGTCATCCACTGGCACATTCAGGCTTCTTTTCATCTGCTTGCTCACGTGCTGGAAGAGGCCAAGGATGGCCATCTTGATGGTCCCCAGCTCCTGGCTTTTCTTGGCAGCTGTTTTCTGCATGTCAGCCCAGAGACACTCCTGAGAGGAGAGGAGACAGGCAGCATGTGGACATGACCCAGCAAAGATGCTGCCTTAGCACTAGAGACCCTGATTTGGAGAGATTAATTTCCACAGTCGACTGGTTTTCTGAGAAGATCACGTGCTTGCTGGAGGTGGTCCAGCTTGGCATGTTTTCACGTTTCTCATCTCTCCGCTGGCTCCTGCAGCCCTCGCTCTGGTGGGTTTCACCCCATTTGTGACCTCTGGGAACTGGGAATCCTGCTGCCACCCTCCCACTCTCCCGTTCTGCCTGATGGGACTCAACTCATTCCAGGCCTGGGAGGTCTTCCCCTGCCTGCCCCATCTTTCCTCACCCTGGTGAGAACATCCCTTTGAGCCTGATGAGAACGCAGTTGAAGCTGATCCAGGTCACTGTTGTACTGCAGGCTCTCATCTTCATCATGCTGGCTGAGTTCCTTGGCTTTCTGCTTTGCTTCCTTAAGCCCACGTTCTGCTTGCAGCAGGGCCTTGCGCATCCTCACTAACCTCTTGTAGTGCCAAATGATTGCCTGGATCTCTTCAAACTGCAGCACAGTGGGGTTAGTAATCCCAGCCCTCCATCATAATGGTAAGTCTTGCACTGTTCATGAGGTGCAGCACCTGCCCCAGTTGGAATGTCTTCCCTCTATTATGGACTGCCAGCCAAGTTGGGCTGTGAGCAGTGCCTCATCCCTGGTAACTTCTTGTTGTGCTCTTCCCAGAGCTGCCATAAGCAAGGTGAGGCACGGCGCCTCTTCTCCAAGGGGGCAGCGCTCCGATAAAAGCACAAATGCAACTGCCTGTGCTGATCTACCTGGACCTGGGAGGGGGCCACTGGCATCCCAGGAGGAGTGATGCATGGAATAATTCCCAGGCTTCCTTGAAAGGATACAGCCTGGGTTCCCATCTCCAGACAGCATTTTACTCCTCCCACACCATCAGTGTGATATGAAGCAGTGACTCAAAGTGTTCCCCATTCCACTCATCCCTGTGCCTTTTCCCTTTTTAATAGTTTTCCTTTAGTTTTCCCAAGCCTTCCCCTCCTTTTCTGGTTCTCTTCCTTTAACTCTGATTCCCCTGGCTCATCCTGGTTACAGGGAACCTTTTCTCATCCCATCTGAGGCCTCTGGGCTTGACCAAATGCTATGATTTTCCTGGATGTACCTTATCTTCTCCAGGTTTAATGCCCAAGTAAGGCCCTCCCTGAGGCCATGAGCTGCCTTCCACACTCACCTGTGAGACCTTCACCACATCCTCCAGATAGGTTTCAAAGATAGAGTAGTTCTGCACTCTGTCACTGAGTTTCTGGTGCTTAATTTTCAGGGCTTCCAGTGCCTTCTTAGCTCTCAAGAGCTCACTCTCTTTTTGCATCTTCACCTTCCTTTCTTTGCCAGCTTTTTTTAGAGCTTGGATTCGCATCTTATCATTTTCCTGTCAGTGTTTCCCCATCAAGACACACACATATATATGCACACAGGGAAAAGAAAGCAAGAGAAGGAACTGTGTCATGCAGAAGTGATCTTTCCCCTGGAACACATTTCCTTTCTGCGTAATCAGGCCATCTCATTAGCACCAGCACTTTGCTCTTGGAGACAAGCCTCTAGGATGGCACTTTGCTTTTCAATCAGTGGGGACAGTATGAGCCCCTCTGGGGGTTGCCTGGAGCCCTTGGGGTTCACAGTGGGGCAGGATGAGCTGGGTGCTGCACTGGCCCTCCCAGGGCCTTCTGTGTCTGGTACAAAGCTGCGAAGGCAGCTCAGGGCTTAAGGGAGATCCATGCAGAGAGGAGTTCCCTCTGCAGTCCTTCTTCCCAGGGGAGGGGAGGAGTTGGCCGTGCATCTCAGCGTTGTGTCGGATGGGCGGAGGAGGGGCAGCTGTACCTTTAGGGTCCTCTCAGATTTCTTCATGTGAGCCTTCAGCTCGGCCTCCTTGGCCCGGAGCTCCTTCCACTTGCAGGTGATGTCCTGCATCCTCACCCTGAAGGCCTGGAAGCACAGAGGGGACAAGGCTTGGCTGTCCATGCTCACTGCCACCCTCCAAAAAGCCGTGGGCCATCCCAGCCGTGACCAGAGCCCTTCCACCTTTCTCACCTCTTCCTTATCCTCCAGAACCCGTTGCATCTCTTGGGCTTCTTTCTTCTTCTCCTGGAGGCGAATAAATGGAGACAGAGAGTCCTCCTCGGTCAGTTTGAGTTTCCTGCCACAGAAGCATTCAGTGCGGTGACTGGCTGGGCTCAGCACCTTGGCAGGATGCTGGCTTGCTCTGCCCCATCACCCCGCCCAGGACCTGTCTCAGAGCTGGTCCAACAGCACGAGTCTCCCAGAACCGGGGTGGAAAGCTCTACGGAGGGGATCCCATGGAGACAGTGAGGAGGGGTTGCAGGGCTGGGGAAGGGAGGTGCAAGGAGAGGCTGAAGTGGTGGAGGTAAGGAGATGAGTGGGGGAGATAAGGGACGGGAGCTTGCAGGGGTGGAGGAAACAAGCGGATGGAGGGAGTGGAGGAGCTCCCTACTTGAGCAAGAGCAGCAGATTCTGCCTGTATTGCATGCTGAAATAGCCTGAGAGGTCCTCACTGTCCACAGTGGCCATTGCTTCAGCCATTGCGTGGCCCAGAGAGTTCAGGTCTTCCTGGTGCAGCTGCTGCCCTGTTACCCTAGGAGCTGCCCTTCCAGCCCACGGCTCAGCAGTGCAGAGGAGAAATGCTCAGGAAGGGCTGTATTCCTGAGAGCCTCCTGCTTCTACTTTCTTGGGGCATTCTATGCCCTGGTTGTGCCTACTGCTGCTGTTGGTGGTTGGTTGGCATGGAACAGGTTCCAAGGCAGTTAGAAGATGCTCAGGCAGTTGTCTAGAGACCAAAGCGGTGTGATACCCCACATCCTCATGGAAGGGACTGCAGAGTGCATGTGGGCCCTGCCCCCTCTGCAGTCTGTGCTGTGCCCAGCTCCCTGCAGTGCTGGGCTGCCAGAAGGGCTCTGCTGCCCCATGGGCTTGGGACGGTGCCCAGTGATGACACACTGCTCCCAAAGGTCCCCCACTCACAGATAGCACTGACCTCCAGGTCTGCTCCTTCCACAAAACATTTCACCCTCTATGTTTGCCAAGGGCAACCTCTGCCTTCCTCAGCCCTAATGTGCAAGATCCATCTGCAGGCTACTGCATGTGAAATGCCCCTGCTCTGGTGGTGAGACTCTCTGCAGGGAGAAGTCTTCATTTTGGTTACAACTCTGACCTGTATCAGGGAAATTACTTTCAGGCAAACATCACCCTGTGCTCATTATGAACCAGCAAGCCGGGGAAAGGCTGCCAGCTCTGTCTGCTTTAAGCAGCAGGAAGATATATGGTGCAGGTGGGGACCATTAGTTATGCGAGAGATGCTTCATTTAGAAACAAATGACCAAGGCAAAGCCAGGGATGCATTTGGCTTTTATTATGGAGGTTAAAATCAGCCACAGGTGTCTTCCCTGTGGACAGCACTGAGCCATTCCCATATCAACAGGTCAGGCAGACACCAGCTGGGCTTCTGGGGGAATGCAATCATTTTAGGGGAGAGCAGAGCAGCCTGAGGTGGCTGCTGGGTGCTGGGATCAGCAGCTCAGGCAGTTAAAGTTCTTTACCTCTATGAATAATTGGAGGCAGGCATTTCCAAGGGGAAACACTGGCTGGCTTCCCAGTCCCGCTGAGAATTCCCCGCCACACGACACGGCCATACAAATGATAGGCAGGCTGTGGGGAGCAGGCGGTGCCATCAGCTGCCTTCCTGCTCCCAAGGCACGTCTGCCACCAGGGCTGCTCCTCTGCCTTGGCCTCTACAGTATTTCATTGCTCCCTTGGGGCTGCAATGCCCATCCATTGGGCAGTCCATGGAGTTTTTGCTCACCACTCACTGTTGTTTCAGAGGAAGCACGCAGATCCCATTCAGAAGATGCTGGTCCATCCATGCCTGTGGTCCAAGAGCTGTGATGGACAACGCCATGCCCTGTCCTGGTAGGTCCTCTCAAACCTGGAACAGTATCGTAGCTGTGGTGGAAGTGCCCTCAGATGGCTTTTTTTCTTTTTTAATGTCCCTAATCACTGTTTGCTGCTTTTATCCTCTCACCAAGGTTTTATCTTTGACAAATGCTTTCCTCCTCAATAGACTATGCATTAAAAGAGTTTCTTCCTATCATGCTCTCCATAGCAACTGCATCAGCCTGCCATGAATAAATTACCTATGACTTGACATCTCTTATTAGAACGTAGAAAATGCCATATCTGAGTCACAGCAGCCCAGCAGAAAGCTTTTCTGCTCATCCCTCAGGTTCATCCCCCACCTTTCCACTCTTTGAAGGAAGCTACTTCTTTTCCTTTTAAATCCCCTGTACTCCCAAGGTCCCTGGAGCTGAAGGCGGACGGAACGCTGACGCAGCCTTTCCCTTCTGGCCTGCAGAATAACCAGGTATAAAACACTGCTGGTGAATCTCCTGTAGATGTGGGTTTGCCTGGAGCCCTGCGGAGGTCCCAGCGCTGCTCTGTAGGCTGCTCAGCCCGAAGTACCCCCGATTTGCCTAAAAAAACTGGATTTTCCCTGGGATGGTGTGGCCACAGCCCAGGAGAGGGAGCACTTAGGAAACAAGTGTGCAGTCGCTGCGCAGCCCGTCCTGCCTTACCGTCGCCTTAGCAGAACTCCACGAAGCGTTCCTGTGCATGCAGCAGATGTGGGAGGAATCTGCTGATCCATGAGGGGAGGGGATGGGGGGACCCCAAGTCACCACTCCACACTGTGCTCCTCTGCTGCCTGCTCTGCATTGCCCAGCACTGCATTAACCCCAGGAGCTGAGGCTATAGGAGGTGCCCATCAGTGCCTCTTCCACTCTGCAGGGCGGTTCTCCATCTCCAGGGTTCCCCAGCACTGGTTTGTCCCAAGTCCTCTACTGCACCCTGACCTGGAGGTACCTGGGGGCTGCTGCAAGGAGCAGGCAGAGCTGAGAGGTGGTTCCCTGTCTCCCTGTTACCTCTCTGTGTGTTTCTATCTGTTGTTTCTGCCTGCTTTACCCACTTGTGTCCATCTGGGCTTTTGGCTTCCCTGCATGTCACATCCCTGCACTGCCACGTTGGGTTTCTGCACACATCAGGCTATGGTGATTTGCCCAGCTTCTCTCTTGCAGTGTTATCTCTATCCTCATTGAGCAGGTTTGCCAAAATTGCCCCGGAATGAAATTGCATCTGGGTGTGTAGGCTTCACAGGAGGGGGCTGCCCCGCACCTGCTGCCCCTGCTGCTCCTTCCCATCCTGCTGTTCAGCAGAAGGGTGTCTGCAAATGGCAGTGACGCCTGGAGATGGGGAGGATTTGCTTCCAAAGAGCAGCAGCCCAGGTGTTCGGGTGAAGAAGGCAAAAAGGGAATGTGCTTTCCTATTGCAGGAGTCCAATTCAACACAGGTGTCTGGGGAGGCTTCCATTTTAAGACCTCGTCTGCTTTATAGCAGGCAAAGACAGTTTGCTCTTTTGTGCACAGAGAGGTCCTTGAATCAAAAATACGAAGATGACTCGTCACCAGGAGCAAACCATGACTCAGTGCTTGGACATGCCTGCAGCACAGGCTGCACAGACCCTCGAGGTGTTCAGCACAGGGCCGCTGACACTGACCCAATCTCAAAGGTTCTCCTCCCACATTTAGCAGTTTTCCAGTATGTCAGGTTGTTTCAGGGATAACAAACTCCCCATTCCCTTGCATCAGACAAAGCTGTCACTTCTGTCACAGCTGCCAGAAAGGTCTTCCTTCCCTTCCCTTCCCTTCCCTTCCCTTCCCTTCCCTTCCCTTCCCTTCCCTTCCCTTCCCTTCCCTTCCCTTCCCTTCCCTTCCCTTCCCTTCCCTTCCCTTCCCTTCCCTTCCCTTCCCTTCCCTTCCCTTCCCTTCCCTTCCCTTCCCTTCCCTTCCCTTCCCTTCCCTTCCCTTCCCTTCCCTTCCCTTCCCTTCCCTTCCCTTCCCTTCCCTTCCCTTCCCTTCCCTTCCCTTCCCTTCCCTTCCCTTCCCTTCCCTTCCCTTCCCTTCCCTTCCCTTCCCTTCCCTTCCTTTTGTTCCCCATCATAGGTTTGATCACAGCTCTACAGGAGCTGAAACACACAGCAGAGTCACTGCAAAGCTGGAGCTTCTGGGGTTTCTTGGGCAGCTTGCAGCTTTCTGGTAACCAAGAGAAACCCAAAGCCCTTTCCCAAGAGCTCTGTTCTGGCTCAGTTCTTTCCATTGGTGTTGAAAGTCTATCTGGTGGCAGGCAGTTGATGTGTCACCGAGCTCATCAGAAAAGATCTGGGCAGAAATGGGGCTGTGGAGGGATCACTAAACGCCTTCCAGAAGGCAGAGGAGGAGGATCCCGGTGCAGGCAGAGCCCAGGAACAGCCATGGAAGGATGCATGTATCTCTGCTGTGGTCATGACTGCTGCAGAGGAGCAGACCTGAGCTGTGTGACGCACCCCTGGGGATGCTCAGAGCAATGAGGTTGATGGGATGGGTGACATGCAGGGCTGCTGAATCACACCACCTGAACACGGATGTGTAGGGCAGGGTATTTCTGTGAACCACGAGCCTCCGTCGCTGCTCCCAGTGCTGAGGAGGGCACATTTTTGTGTGCTGCATTTTTCTGAGTGCTGACAAAGCAAGCAACACGATCAGTCAGCAAAGCCATTTCCATCGTGTTGCCTCACCCTTGGTTGTAGAGCAATGGTCTGATGCCATCCCAGCACGCCAGACACAGACCCAGGGGATGCAAGGGTGATGTGGGAGCTCCTTGCAGCCTGGAATCCCTCTGGGAAATGGATGCTGGGGGTTTGGTGCCCACCATCAGTCCATGCAGGGCTGTGCAGTTTTGCTGATCCCCAGCAGCCTCCCTGAGCTGTCCCTGCAGCCAGGCCGGCTGGGTTCTGATGGATGTGTTAAGCTGCCATAATCCGTCCGTGATGCAGCAAGGCCCCTCGCCCTCAGCTGCTCATTCCCAGCCCTTCACACCCCCACGCTGGCAGAAGTGTTGGGTAGCCCTGACCTGGAACCATCTGCCTGGAAAACATCGTGGCAGGAAGGACAGAGCAGCTCAGGAGCCTGTTAGCACATGCATGGGAGGAAGCTTGTGTCCAGCACTGGGGCAGTGCTTGGAGAGGGGCAGGAGGTGGCTCACATATTGGTGGCCATGCTGATGCCTCCAGCATGGAGATCTCCCCAAGCGGGGCTGATGTTGGGATCCCCTTAAGCACTTTGGACAAATATAGCAGCTCAGTGCACTGATGCACAGCACACAGCTTCCCTTTTTCCTCGCCACAAGCCCTGCAAAATGAGGACATGAGGCTCATCTGGTGTGAATGGATCATATGAGCATGTAGAAACCATTTAATAATTCACCTTGATTTGGTCTGACATTATTGTAATGATGGGTTCATAGCCCCTTTCTTTATTTCTGGCCAGGTTTGCTGCTCTCTGCCTTGTCCTCTCCCCTGAAACACCCCCAGACCTCACAAAATGAACACTCCCCACACATCTGTCTTTTTTAACCCAGCCACTACTCTTCTGGTCTATTTTCTCTCCTCCCCTCTCATTAGCTATCTGGTCACGTCTGGATGTCTATGAAGCTTAAGCTAAAAAAAGGAACCACCAAACTGTTCTGTATTCCCTGCATCCTCCCCTAGTAGTTCCTCTTCCCCACTGAGGAATGAGCTTAAGCTCTACTTCATCTTCCTCCCTGCAGGTGTTCTTCCTTCTGCCTGCACTGACTCTGCAAGCAGCAGCCTCTGCTCTTCCACTCCCATCCCACTCCCTCATGCCATCCCTCCAGGGTCAGATTTGCTCGTGTGCAATTCTTCTGAGTGCTCAGGCAGCCCTCCTGCCCTCACATTTCAGCTGAAATTCACCCTTTAACTTTTCCTTTCTCAGCCTTTGCTTGAAGCTGAAAACGATGAGTGAAAAGCTCTGACTGAAGAGTGGCACCTTTTTGTTCTCTGCCCAGACCAGCCCATCCATCCAACCTGCCTCCCTCTCCATGCTGTGCAGAGGACACAGGAAAGCTGAGTGCATCCAGCTGCTCACCACAGAGCCAGAAAAATGAGGAGGCAATGCCATCCCCAGGCTCTAGGAAAAATAGCAGAGCATTGGAGAAGCAGGGAGGTGGGCATCCGAGGGCAAACCCAGGGACAGGGGGCGACAGAGGCACTGAGGGCCAGCTGCATGACTGCCTCCTCCACCCCAACCCCAGCATCTCTCACGCACCCTGCTGCAGGGAGCGCAGGCAGAGCTGTGCTGGCCTGC